CGGGAACCCGGCACGGAACCCTCCGGCGTTGTAGGCGGGTGTGGGAAGCGTTCCCCGTTCTCCTTTTATTTTATTTTGATCGGTCTCCTCGACGCTCTTTCTCGTTTGGTGCGGTAGCTGGTCTTTCTTTCTATCATTTTGTTTCTCTTCCGAGTGGTTTTTGTACCCTATTTTTTTCTGTTTCTTCGTGGGGTCGTGTATGCCGGGTTTTGAGACCACGGGCTCCCAATCTTTTTTTTAGAGCTAATGTGAGAAACAACAACAACAACAACATGCGTTCGTAAGCTTGCAAAAATACTAATACTGCGTTGATGTCCGCTTGTAAAAGCTGAAATCCAACAAATGCTTTGATCCATGCTACATCTCCGTGTTGGAAAAGCCCTTTCATCTCCGTTCATGATAACATCTTAGACTACCCTATTCTACGCAAATCTGTCACATCTACTCTCAAACAAGACGTCAACTTCCAAACGCGTTCTACGATGCGTCTACACTCCATCCCCATATCATTGGCGTTGACTGGTATTATTCTCAACACATGTGATTGGTCGACGTTGTCGGATAGGTATGATTCCATGATTTCGAGGATGATGATGATCGCGCACTCGCACCATCCTCTCTCTCTGCTTTTTTGGGGTTCTCCAACCCTCAAACTTCCTGGGATTCACTAACCCAATGTTTTCTGGAGAGATCCACCTCTCGTTGTGGTTTTACTCTGTTTCTCTATACATTCTTTCTGGTCTCCAGTGATCAAGCAACTGCATTTCCACCAACAACTCATCTTCTTCTCCTTCGGACTTCCTGCGTACTCAGAGCCAAGCCTCTTGTACTAAGAGTCCAGGGGCGAAAGGTAAACTACGCGGGGTGCAGCAAGCCCGTCCTGGGCGTTACTTGGGGCACTGGGTAGTCGGCCGTGTTAGGCCGAGAGAGAGAGGTGGAGAGAGAGGTGGAGAGAGAGTGACAAAAGGAAACTCGATTGGAGAGAGACGGCGGTAGCGGTGGAAGGAGAGAAGGAAGAAAGTGTGCGCAACACGCACGCAAGCCTCATCGTTCCAACCGCGCCGACAAGGGTCCCCGTGACTGCACCGGTGGTACCCTACAACACACGAAATTCCCAACACGTATCTCCTTGGGATCCTCACGACCAGATACTACTGCGAGTATATCTAACATCCCCCCTGCTCGCAACAGTTTCTCACTGAAAACTTCGCTAACATCCGATATCTCAACCAAAAGACGTCTTTCCCAGAACATAAAGTCATCAACGCTATACCCAAATATAAGAAAGAAAAATCGTTCAAAGAAACATGAATGAATGCTGCATCGCGCGTAATACTTGGCGCGGAAAATGAAAGCAAAACCAACCCATAACCCATC